GGTCTGTAACGTGCAAAATAAATGGTCAAATACGCAACTTTTTTCGGGGTGGCAGCACGGTCGCGGGTGCTATGGCGTCGTTCAAATTTCGTAGGGTTGATGTGTAATTAATTATAACAATTAAATTAGGTATCTGGTGACAAATACGTGTGGGTATAGACGATTTGTTATACAGTAAGTACAGTTGTATGCAGTAAAATCCTAGAGGCTACTGTCCCTTTAAATTAGGTATCTGGTAACAAATACGTGTGGGTATAGACGATTTGTTATACAGTAAGTACAGTTGTATGCAGTAAAATCCTAGAGGCTACTGTCCCTTTAAAATCTATAGCTCTTTGAATTCGTGCCTTCAATCCACGAGAGAGCGCCATTGATTATAAAGTCTCAAAAATCCTGAATTTTGACCTCGTTGGGTATTTGGGGCTTGGGGCCATGAGCTCAGCCCTAGAATCCATACTATACTCTAAGGCCAAACAAAAAAATACCTTTGGTTCGGATCACATGGATTGTGAAAATTAGGGTAGGTAGGTAGGTATAACATTTTTTTTTAAATTTTTTCCCTGCAAAAACATGGGTAGGCAGGAATATAATTTTTTTTTCACAAGTAAAATATAGGATATACAGCTTGAAATGCATTTTTCGATTGTTGCAAAATGTGAACACCTGGATAGTAGTGTTAGGAATCGCTCCAAAAACGGAGCTCGATTAATCGTCCATTTGAACGAGCGAGTAACCGAAGTATAAACGGCTCTGCGGCCACGTATAGCACGATAGCATGCGTACACTATATAGTACGCAATCGATCGCGTACATCAAAGCCGGCCGCTGCGCCATGGTAACCCGAACCAAAGGTAATTTTTTGGTAAAGGTAATCGGCCTAAGGGTGCAGCTGACTACTTCACCTTTTGCACGAGTTTTCATCACTGAACATATGACACCTCCTGAAATTACCTTCAAGTGATTATTTCACCGTAAATAATAAAAAAATAATATAAGTAATTCTGTTCACTTTTTATGGTTATATTGCTGCATTATACTTCTTATTTGATTATATTGTTCAATGTGAACATACACTCGTGACTCATACATAGCCCATAGCAAGCAATCAATGTCAGGAACACAATATAAAATCGTCCAGGTTTTTGGGATTTTTAACTAGTTGAGAAACAATCTTATCAGGTAAGAATATGACGATACGTTTAGTCCCATTAGTTCTTACTTTTAATGTAAAAAAATGGCAACAAATTTTTTTACACATTTTAACATAGAAAATTCGTGATGTAGTCAATTTAATACTGTCCCTGCTGAAACAGACACATCGCATACAAAGGTTATCTTGCAACCTACTTGTGGCATTGGTATATTGGCAATTTCTTGTCAGGTACTGACTCCAGCAGTTCCTGTATGACACCGGCACAGTATTCCATCACGAGGTACATCTTCTGTTTCTCCGTGTTGTAGAGAACGTCCACAATGTGGATAACGTTTTTGTGTCTCAGCTTTCGCAGGAACCTTATCTCACTGTGAAACACAAAACGTACTGCCAATTAAACAAGTGCCGCAGTGCGACAGGGCTCATCTGGTGTCTGGTGTTCTGCTGATAAATTCGTTTGTGCATAGCAAGGCATCATAATAGTATTACTATTAGTAATACCTTATAGTTATAATATGTACATAAGTCTTCTATATTCTTGTTTGACTTTCGTAGCCTATTCGAACAAAATTATTCAGCCTACACTTTCGCACCCACCTATCTCTATAGCCATTGGCAGGTTTGGCACGCAACTAATTTATCGATTTAGAAGCGTGCCAAGTCATGGGCTGCCCCGTGTTTTTGCGCTACCCGCACGCGAGCATTCACTGATTCAGGCCATTCAGGGTGCTATAGTACAGAACTGCTTTAGAAATAATATGATTTAAGGACGTAAACCTTGTTCAACAAACATTGCTTTGCAATTGAACTGCTGCAACCTGTAGCCTACCATTCAGTAGCAGGTATGGGCTCTAATAAGAGGGCAAAAGCAGTTCAGTCCTTTGTTAACATCAACAAAGATCAAGTGTTCTGTAACCCTCCTCTTGAGGTCAAAAGCAAGTTAATCCGACACTTACTCTTTCGCATGTCAGCGGGAAAGTACATTTCATAGGTCCTTTCAATAAAGCCATAAAATCTGCGTAGGTCACCGCGCTGAAAAAAAAAAGTTTTTCAATCGCCGTCCGTCAGACCATGTCCTCAGAAAGGTGTCTAAAATCTGCCTTGTGCACCTTGACCTTTTGACTTTGTGACCTCCAATTTCGGCACAATGATGGTCTTTTCGCCATAATGATGCTATACACCGACTATCTGACGGCTAGTTCGAGCCGGTTTAGAGTTTGTGCGGAATTCTGCATTCCTCTCCCTATACCTTAAGTTAAGGAGGGAATGTTCCCCTTCTGTTTACTACCTCTTGACCTTTGACCCCAGATTCGGACATCAACTCGTTTTGGATTCCGCCCCACGTCCCGATATCTGACCGTACGTTCGAGGGCGGTTAAGATTTGTGACCAAGCTGTTGAACGCACGGACGCACGGCCGACGCAGCGCACGCTCAGCCATTCTACAAGCTGGCATACTGACTTAGCTGCTAGTACTATAGCCCGGCCTCATTAACTGCGCAGGCGCTATAGAACATTGTTCAGCTCGATTTCGTTACTGCACCTGTCACCACCTGTCCCCACGAGAAATTGATCGGAAAATGGCCAAATGAGTTGGCTTTTTATAACACTTATTTATCTACATGGACATCTCACCTATCGTTTGAAACACTTTGCCACAACTTTAGCAGCATGTATTTATCCTTTTTATTCCTCAAGTCAGCCACGACTGGCATTCCGCGTTTGAAATATTCTGGCGTGGCGAAACGCGTGGTGACGTCACCGGTATTGTAATATACATGGCACCGATAATGTAGGGCCAAAACAATGGGCAGCTATGGTGCATGTATATACAATACATGTGACATCACGCAGTTTCGCCACGCCCAGAATATTTCAAATGCGGAATGCCAGTAGTCCTGACTTTGAGTAATAAAAGGATAAATACATGGTGTAAAGTTGTGGAATAGTGTTCAAAAAAGATAGGTGAGATGTCCATGTAGATAAATAAGTGTTAAAAGCCCGTATTCATTTTGCGTTTTGCGATCATTTTTTGTGTGGGACAGGTGGGTGACAGTTTGGCAGTAGCGAAATCGAGCATGACATGTCTATAGGCCTGCGGCAGTTAAGATGATGCGGGGCTATAGTACTAAGAGGCTACATCTGACTATGCAATTGAGCTTAAAAACAGAGTGGCCTAGTATGCCGGCAGGCCGGCATATTATCTGACGTTCCCTGGCACGGTCACTTCGATTTCTAAATGCCTGCCGGCAGGTTTTTAATGTTCAGCTGTTATCTCAATGTAAACAAGGTAGGGTTAGCGAAGCTTGCCGAGCATTTAGGAAATCGAAGACCGTGCCCGGCGCGGCTCATAGCCAGCATGCGATTAAAATACGCTGTGGCTATATGCCGGCTTGCGGGCATTGGTCTTCGTTTCCTAAATGGCCACGGCAGTCCTACCGATCTAACCCTAAACCTAAACCTAACAAAAACCCTAACTCTATCGGCCTAAACTAACGCCTAACGCCTAACCCTAACCCTAATCCTAACTCTAAACTTGTAACCCTTGTTTACGTGAGGATAACCGCTAAAATTAAAAACTGCCGGGCATTTAGGAAATCGAAGACCGTGCCCGGCAGCCGTCAGATATACGCCGGCTGCCGGGCATATAGCCACTCTGATTAAAATAACATCACGTGACAAGACCCTATGAAATTGATGTTGATGGACATCATTTACCATGTAACAAATATACGCATAATATTCCTATAGATAAGTGAAGAGTGTGAGAAATTACTTACAAATACAATTACTCGGTAGTGAACATAAATTAAAAGTCAAAAATGTAATCTAGTGACAGTGTAGCAAGACATTCTTCAGTAACGTCAATGATATAACCTTGACCGTATTTCTGATCCATTACGTCTCGCTGTGTTGCAGAAATATTGAGAATATGAAATAGGTATATAACTTATTAGAATAGAAGGAAAACATCAAACCAAGGGCCAAACCTTTGGACATTCTGCTCTCCGTTGGGAATTTTCCGTAGTCGTTTCTGTTTCAATATTTTCACTGCCCGTCGTTCCAATGTTTCCGTATCTAGCATTTCTTTAACTTTTCCGTACGATCCTTCGCCTAACAAATCGCCCATGAGATATTTTCCTATCATCTTGGCTTTTTTCTGACGCGGTTGGTAGATGATTTCGGCAGAATCCACCCGGTGGAAAAACATGTCGTCCAGGCCATCTCCGTCATCGTCATACATCATATCAAGCGGCAATGGATTAACATCATCGAAATGAGAATGGTACTGGTAAAGACCTCGATCGTAATACAGTTCACTTTCTGCACCGTCTGTGCCGGCCTGATCCGGCGTGTAGAACATGAGTCTAACGGTTTAAACTTCTCGACTTCGTAGAGAGATCACAGAAATGGTAAGGGCTCCATCTTCGCTCCATCTTCTAACCTGCCAGGCGAGAGGTTCGCTGCGAAATGTAAACAAATCCATTTTAAATATGATACTATCGGGCATAAACCAAAATAGCATAAAATTAATCAATATAATAATACAAGGAGCGTAACCAAGCTTAGCTACTAGATTAAAATTTGACAATAAATAAGTGATTAATTATTAATTCAAGCAGAACCCCTAGACTGCTAACCGGTCCCACCTCTCGGCCTTCTGGTCCCCCCTCTCCCATGCCATCGAGTAATCGAGGTGGGAGCGAGTACCAGTCTAGCAGAACCCCCTGTCGATGAAAGTGCGACGCAGAGCCATAGAAACCACCACCACCACGGCCAACCACAACCACACGGCGGCCAGCGTGATTTTTTTTCCTAGGTCAATCAAGAACATAGGGTTGTAATGAGCGCTGCTATTGGTTGAGCTTGTTTTCTCGCGATATACATAGCACATCCAAAAGTATTTTTCTCGGTATGACTCGATAGTCTACCGCGTATAACGCTGGTGTCATGTACGGAAGGTCGGACGATCGAATCCCAAGGTTCGTTTTCTAATTATTTTTCTGTTTTCTGTATTTTTCTATCTTTATCTGTTTAACATTTTCCCCCAATTAACGCAAATATTTACATGATTTATTTACAACATTCTAATAACAGCAATTAATTTTTACAACAATTAAAAATTAAATTTTTTATATATTTGTTTAAATAGGGTTTGGGTTAGAGTTAGGATTAGGGTTAGGGTTAGGTTTACTTAGGTTAGGTCACAATGCATGCATGCAACCATAAACAGTAGTTTTAAGGCACGTGATTTGTATCACCAATGGCAGCACCGTTAGAAGCCCTAATGTATTCTTCAAGATTGACCTATAGGAAAAAAAATCACGCGCCTGCAGTCAGTTGATCCGCGGCCACCATCCAAGTCCTGTAGGCACATAACCAACCAATCATCGTTCTCTTTCATTCGGAGAGATGGATGGCTGCTTCATCCTTCATCACTATGTTCATAAACTGCAGTACTACGATACAACCAGCAATACTACGATAGTACGAACGACTGTTCAAGACAAGACACCTATTTTCGATTTTGTTTGTTGTTCGTTAATCTTAACTTGTACTATTTGTGCCGATTCGTCAAGTTGGAACTTAATTTCCCCGAAATCAATGACCGTCACCGAGTGAGTATACTTTACTTTACTCTTTACGCTGTGGCTATANGGTTTTTGGGTTAACCCGGGTTAATTATCATGGATGCCAGTGACAATAAAAAAAGAATAGCAGTTGCAATCTTATTATTAATGAAATCTATTTATTTAATGAAATTTATTAATTAAGGATAGAGAGCATGTCCAGTAATAAACATCCTATCCACCCCAAATGTCCCGAATATCGTGACCGTACATCAAGCGGTTAAGATTTGTGCCCAACTGTTGACGCACGGATTCTACAAGCTGCATCTGACTATGTCAGATGAGCTAAAAATAGAATTTGTGACGTTTCGTTTTTATTTTGCATACCCCGCCGCATACGCTATTATGCTATGACAGTGCTTGACACGGCCGGTTGCCCGGTCGCCAATGGCGACCAAAACCTCTGCTGGGCGATTGAAAAATACCAAAAACAAAATATTACAGGCCCAAAATTAAATCTTTCGGCGAGTACAATTTCTGTTCGGCGTTAACACAGCGCAAATTGCTTATCGCAAACGGCAGTTTGGACAGAATTGTAAATGGGAGCGCATTCTAATACGCTCCGTTCCTGAACGTAGACGGGGTATCCAAAACATTCTCCAATCATGATTCGCCACACGAACAAAACCTCGTGACAGTCTAAGAAATCGATTGCAGCATGTAGCGTAGCCCAGTGTTTTTATGACCGCATAACAACAGTGCTCGACACAGCCGGTCGCCCGGTCGCCAATGGCGACCAAAACCTCTGCTGGGCAACTAAAAAATACCCAAAACAAAATATTACATGCCCAAAATAAAATCTTTGGGCGAGTACAATTTCTGTTCGGCGTTAACACAGCGCAAAACAAGTGCTCAGATTTCGATTTATCGCAACACTCGGCGGACACGGCTTTCCTATGTAATATAGTTCGCTTTACAATATAGACACGGCGTTTTAGTTCACTGTTTGAGATTGTCAGACGTACGCCGTACGTGTGTGTGTATGTGTGCCGCGCGTGCTACGCAGGCCGGATCCCTATAGTACGCGATCGATCGAAAACCGCCGCCGCGTCAAAAGCGCCGCGATCAAAGCCGCCGCGGCACGCGTGACCTTGGGGCTCGTTTTATGAAGTAGCCGCGGCCCAGGCTCTGCGACTGTTTCACGTGGTATGCTAGGGGCACACTAGCTCTAGCCCGCGTACAGTTGCCGCAGGCGTACATAGCCTGCGGCAACTGTACGCGGGCTATAGTACTAGAGCTAGGGGCACACGAGCGTATTTTTTCGCCCGATCGCGACGATTAAAATCGTCAGCGAATTTATACGCTCGATCACGAAGGGGCACACGTAGCGAATTTAATCGCCCGATCACGAAGGGGCACACGTAGCGAATTTGAGAGCGTACGCGTACGCCACTCGACGGATCACATGATATCAACAACACGTCCGATTGGTTTATTCGCTCGACAAAATACGCCGGACACGGGCAGACGAGCGAATTTCCAGCGGATCGATCCGCCGGCGTAAATAATCGGCGGACAGAGTTTACGTGGCCATGTGTAGTGAGGGTTTAATTGAATAAAATAACAAAAATCGTTTTGTGTGTAGTAACTTATGGTTCAAATTTTCTTTATTCAGGTAAAGAAGGCCACCGGCCCATATCACAGATACAATACATACAAGTTGCTGGCGCCACACCTATACAAATACTGCATACACATGTATCATATTAATATGTGTCGTTATGGTTATGATTTATATTTTAACCGAAAAAATGGCAATGGAAAATTGGGCGACCAAAATTTTTTTTGGGCCAGCATTCGGCTGGCCCGAGTGTCAAGCACTGAACAATAAGTTCATATATCGCAGGGGTTATCGTGGGGAGTGAGGGCACGACCAGTGACACCTGACACGCACGTAATCAAAGCTGCTGAATTCGTCACTTTTCTTAACGTAGAAAGTGGACTGTTTTTATTCAGTTAGATATCTAAAAGCAAATTTAACTGTATATATATACTTAAAGATTCTAGGCACTTGTAACTTTGCGGATGTGCGGCAGCATTGATCTATGCATGGGGGTACC